TATCGTTATGATCGTCAGCAATGTTGGAAGCGAGGAGTCACAAGTCATCGGCTCTCTGATTGGATCTTAGATTGACTTTCGATTGGTTACGACGGGATAGGGATGACGAATGAAATGAAGAATTACTTCGTTCAACTTTCTCTCCCTCCCTCCCTCCCTCCTCTCTCCCCCCTTCTCTCTCTCTCTCTCTCCCTCTTTTGGATCGTCATAAAAATGTAACTAAGAAAAAAATGAGGGAAAATTAAAAATCAGAATCAACATCGAACAACTGGAATTAATATGATTACCTGCAGTTTACTCACACTTGCCTCGGGATTTCTCGTTGGCAAACGTCATTTTAGGTCACAGCTTCCCCACCCGCTTCCTTTGCATGACAGATTAAGACAGGAGCCAAGTATAAACCTTAATGAGGGTGCAACTGAAGGCCAGGGTGGTATTGCTCGATATTGACGAAACAGGGACCGGTCTTCACACATGTATGTATACACTATAAGCTTATTTGCATGCAAAAAAGTCAGTTACAAGCAGGGGAGCGTAAAAGTTATTATATGTAACTTGCTTCCTGGCTGAAGTGCTTCAACATTTCTTCCTAGATCTGGAGGTTGGTGTTCGATACCGTATCGAAGTTAGTATTTCGAAGGCAAGCATCCAGGATTACTTGGATGACTGGTAAAAAACACATCTTACCAACACCATATCTGGTGTGGATTTTGACGTTATGTAATGGTTAGCAAGCTTGTCTGGCTAGTTCAATTAGGACTGAATAGTGAGTTCGATCCTCACTGTGTGCCCCATACTATGTATCCGACATCTAAGATCCGGTTAGAAAACCACCAACGCCATATCTGGCCTCGTTTTAATCTACGTGCAATGTATTTATATACTTTTTAATCTACATGTAATGCATTTATATATATATATATATATATATATATATATATATATATATATATATATATATATATATATATATATGGCAACCTACTGAAGGAAAAGATCTGCCTCGTCAGTCATGTATCGAAAGATATATAATCGCCTGTGGCACATAACTGACTGACTGAATGCATTTGACGACCAATGAACTCGTAGCTAAATGATTTCAGAAGTATAGACATTATGCGGATTTAGATTTTGCACAAGACCGAAAGTACGGGGTGCCCAGGGAGGATCAAACTCAATACCCAGTCGGAATTGATCTCGCGAGACAAAATTTGAATTATAGTGTTTATTCGAATTGTTGGCAAAATATTGGCTTATTGGCAATCGATTTGGACTTTGTAAAATGGTAAATAATAAAGATTTCATGGCCTGGTGGATAAAAGCGTTGGTTGGATCCAGTAAATTAAGCCAACGAGTTGTGAGTTCAATACCTGGACACTGCAGTGGTGAGAAAAAAAAACTTTGAGTTGATTAAAAGGGAAAATAACTGAGACATCCGAATGAGGCTTATATATATTCACGACGGAACTAGAATAATCTACCGAGGTGGACGCAAAAGAAGGATTCACTATTTACATTATTCAGACTATTGTTCTCATCTTTGTCGCCATATTTATTACAACGTTTCGGCTGTTGTACGCTCCGGCCTTCTTCAGGTGGTTGGTATGTCGAACTGAATCTTTTATTTCGCTCATTGGGGTAAGCTGTTCTAGTTCGACGTACCATGTTTAATGGATGTCAGTTATCAGTTATCCCCTGTTAATTCCCCTCTCCAAGTTCACCACTGCTTTATCCGGGTATTGAACTCACAGTCTTTGGGTCCTGTCCTAACCAACGCCTTTATCCACTGTGCCATGTGTCCTCTCATTGTAATAAATATGGCGACAAAGATGAGGACAATAGTCCGAATAATGTAAATAGTATATATAATACGTCATCTCAGAAAAATATAGACAGATAATAACGGATTCATTTCGAAATTTTAATTACCTGAAGAAGGCCGGAGCTTGCAATGTCCGAAACGTCGTGAATATGACAATAAAAATGAGGACAAACGTCCGAACAATGTAAATAATTTAAATGATTTCATTATAGTTGGTTCGTATATTTTTTATATATTGTGTTTATAAATTTCTGAAGAAAAAGTCGTTTTCATATTTTTTTATTTTATAGATTATAAATATGGCAGTGTGTTAATTTCAATACAATTGTCCTAGTCTTCAGAATGTAGTAAATCAGAAATTATTCTTGTAAATAAAAAAAATCTAATAAAAAATATTTTTTAATATTAAGAGGAGGGGGTAAGAAATGAGAATATGAAGGATATCTAGAATAGATGACGGTTGACCCTAGACTTTGTCAACCGTTATCTATCCTACATATCCTTATAATTCTCATTTCGAATCAGGCTGTCTATATATATATATATATAGATAGATAGATAGATAGATAGATAGATAGATAGATAGATAGATAAAACTAGTGAGCCAGACAAATCTACCCAGGTTTCATCTAAGCTTAGGTTAAACCTGGGTAGGTTTGTTTGGCTCACTAGGTTTAT